AAAAAAAACCCCTACTCTTTTAGCAGTTTTGAAATATATAACACAGCCATCCTGGATATTTTGAGAGATTGGGTCCAGGACTCTAGGAGACACCAAAATTTGTGTATTCTCATGACCCTGATATAAAATGGTGTACTGTCTACATGTCACCTACACAATTCTGCAGTATACTTTAAATTATCTCTAGATTGCTGCCTAGTGCAATGTAAATGCTATGTACATGGTTGTTATACTGTATTTTGTATGGTTTGTATTTTTTATTTTTTTGAGAGAGGGTTTCACTCTGTTGCCCAAGTTGGAGTGCAGTGGCCTCAGCACAGCTCACTGCAGCATCCATGTCTTGGACTCAAGTGATCCTCCCACCTCAACCTCCTGAGTAGCTGGGACTATAGGTGCCTGCCGCCATGCCTGGCTAATTTCTCCATTTTTTGTAGAGACAGGGTTTTACTTTTGCTCAGGCTGGTGTCTAGTTTGCTTCTTTAACACATTGACTGCCACACTAGAAAAAAATTTTTTTCTTGGGGCACAGTTTTATTAGGCCAAGCTAGGTCAAGAGATATGTGAGTTCATATGCTTCACAAGACTCTGGGCTCAAAACTAACATAAGTTAAGAACAACTCACTTGGCAGTTATGTGTCAAAATTATTGCATTGCTATTTTTACATTTTTTTCCCCAAATCTATTTGACCTGTGATCTGTCAAATTTTGGAAGCAGAAACCATGGATGCAGCTGCTGTACCCAGTGTGGTGATCACTGAAACCACCCTCAGGCCAAGACCCTGTTTTCTCCCCTCGAGCACCTGCAGCCTCAGTTGCCCCCTGCCACCCTCTGTCCCCTAAGAGCTGTGCTCTTGGGGTCCAGATGAAACAGGGTCCCGTGACCTGTCTCCTGGGCCTACATATTTCCCTGCACATGCCATCCCTAGGCCCATTCACATGGTCACTTTCCCACTTGGTATCCTCCTCAGGTCCAGAGTGTGTCTAAGCTGGATCCTTCCTGCCCTCTCTGCTGGGGATCAGCCTTCCAGCCAGTGCCCTGGCTGTCCTCTTGGTTGGCCCACCCAGCCCCCCATTCTGAGTCTCGCCCTTCTCCTGGGAGCTCACAAAGGGGTCACGTTTCTCCTGTGCCCCGACTTAGCCATGTGGGTACCCAGATCCCCTGAGCTCCCACAGACAGCCTTATCTGACGTCTCCAGGCACCTGACAAGTGTTCTGATCCTTTATCTGCAGCAGAACAATATGGGGGCAGATTCACCTGCTGGCCTCAGGGAGTGGCTGATGGACTCATTGGATGGGCGCCCCTGTGCCTGTACAGAACCTCGGGTTCCATGTGCTCAGACAGAGGCAGTTCCACCACTGGAGTTTAGTGGGTCCTGACCAAGACTTAGACAACAGAATCAGGTATGGATGACTCACAGAGCAACAGCGGTGGCTGTTCTGTCACTGCCGCATATCAGGTATGGATATGTGGAAACATCCACCATGAGAAGCCTAACTCTCCCTCACTACATTGTCTCCAGGAGGCTCTCCCTGAGTGCCACTAAACCAGACCCCCCGGGGCTCCCACAGGGCCCTATTTGGTTCTGATCTCACAGAGATCCTGTTTCCTGTACCCTAACTTGACCATGACCTCTGTGGGGTTGGCAGGCGCAGCTCCTCATGCTCAGAGGTTGTGGACATGCTGCCCTGAAATGGACCATCTGAGCCACTTGCACCAGCTGCTGAGGGAGGCCCAGAGGTCACCCCCTGCCTATTCTTCTTCTGCTGCTGCCTAGAGATAATGCCCCTAAGCGCACCCAAGCTGATGGGGTGGGAGCAAGAGGTCCTGGCAAAAACCAACAAAGTCACAGACAGGAAAGGCAAGACTGGGAGGTGGCCTGTCCTTACCTCTGAGGCCCTGTATGGAGTGGGAGACAGCAGCTGGCTCTGGGAGCCCATGTGTGTACATTCGTGTGTGTGCCTGTGTGTGAGTCACTGTGAGTCTACTCCATATTTTCCAGTGCAGACAAAGCCCTGGCAGGACCAGAACCCCTGTCAGGTGCCTGGAGATGTTAGGGATGAATGTTGGCTTATCCTGTAGGAGCTCAGGGGGTCAAGATGCCCTCCTGGCTGAGTCATCTGAGCATACTGATCCCTAAGATCTGTCCCTCTGGCAGAGGGACAAAGTGAGGAGGGGAGAAGACTCAGCATCTCCCGTGAGACCTCATCTTTTCCACCCTCTGCCCATTCTAGAACACCTGCTGTCCCCTTTCCCCTGACCAACACCTGCCACCACAGCAGCTAACATGGTCATTTCCTACAACCAAGGCACTGTGTCTAAGGTGGTCTAACCCTGGGCAGCCTGGCCCTGAGGCCTCTGACCTTTTTTCCTCCTCCTTGTTTGCATTTTAAACTTTCCTACACTATCTTGTACACACATGGCAATCAACTGGAGTGCCTGCATCTCAGGGGCCCAGCTGGATGGATTGTTATATACCGCTGCCAGATCAGGATCAGGGAATTCCCTCTGTTCCATGTCAACACCACTGGCCTCGACCCCAGGATGCTCCGGAGTTTCAACACGTGGGTGGCCACACAGTGTCTGGCATCTTAACTTCACTGCCCAGCTCTGACTCTCCACCATCTGCTTCTTATGCCTGTCCACTTGTGGGCACTCAAGCCACTTCTGTCTTGACTGCTAGGATTTGGGGTTTCAGGGCAGTTCTGGGTGGGGGGCCCTGCCCCACTCTTAGACCTTTCAGAGCCTTCTCTTCCTTGCCAGACCAAGAGGAGCCCTCTGATATCTCTGATAGCACCTGGAGACCCACTTGCCACAGGGAGTGGCCAGGGATGACATGGTCCAGCCAGGTGAAGCCCCCTCCTGGGAGGTGAAGCCTTCTGAGAGATGCTACTGTAGCAACTTAGATCCTTACATGAAATCTCTC